TGCTGCTCGACGAGGCCACCAGCGCGCTCGACACGGAGAGCGAGCGCGTCGTGCAGGGCGCGCTGGCCGAGGCCGCGCGCCGCGGGGACCGCATCACCGTGGCCGTCGCGCACCGCCTCTCGACCATCAAGGACGCCGACGTCATCTGCGTCTTTTACGGCGGCCGCATCGTCGAGCAGGGCTCCCACGCGGAGCTGGTGGCAATGGGCGGCATGTACCGCAAGATGTGCGAGGCGCAGAATTTAGACTAGACGAGGGACCCGGGGCGTTTGGGAAGTCTTGAACAAAACTTGATTTGGGGTTTGGCTAATGTGGAGAAGGAAATGTTGCTTAAAATATAGCTCACGCGTTTGCTCGAGTTGAGATGTTTGTTTTTGCTGAGATAATCATGCAGGGCCTGTAGGAAGCATCTAGGGTAGGCAAATGCATTGAAGATGGTCCGTTACGGGAGCAGCCGCGTGCGTGGCGCATGTTTACTGATATAAGGGAGACCCTACCCTAAATGATATCTTGAATTCTTAAATGATATGCCACGTTCTTAGCCTGTCCTCGGCATCCTTGGCAGCACGACACAAGGGGGCATCAGGGAGCATTCCAACGTTGTTGTCGTGCATCAAGTCACTTGGGGTGCCAAGGTGGTTGCGGGGTTGACTCGAGGCGGGGATGAAGCAAGGTTCGAGCACGCATCACCTGGAATACGATATATTACCCATCCTTCTTCCAACAGGCAAGAATTATTCGTTGGCCGCTCGGCCCTGGCTGACAAGGCCATCACATGCCCCTTCTTCCCCGCAGTTCTGAAGTTCTGACCCCTTTCAGCGGGTCGATTAGTGACATGGCCCCAGCTTTCGAGGGACAGACGACCTCTACCTCTGGGATGTTTGGTCACGGTCTTGTAGTTTGTTGCAGCTTTCTCCGCTTGGATCTTTTAAGTAGAAACGAAAATTTTCTCTTGTTTCTTCTTTTGCCCTCTCTCTTCCTTCTTCCTGCCGTTGGCTTCCGGATCGTTCCAGTTGCCCCTCCATTGCCATCTCGAGGTTACAGTGCTTGCAGCCCCACCAAAACCGGCGTCGCCACTCGCTAACAAATCCCAACCGGAAAGCCCACGCCTAGCTGTTAATGTACTAGCAAGGCCCCGAGCCAAGGTCATCCTCGCTCTCCACGAATCGTCAGTGGCCCGTTAATAAGGGCAGCAGCATCGTCTCAGATCCCTCGCCTGACCTCGCTGTTTTGACATCTTTTGCTCCCTCGTCTCCCTCCCTTCGCTGTCGTCTGCCTCTTGTTTTCATCGCGTCATTCTCACAGCATCTTTAAGCGAGTTGCATCCAACGATACTTTTATTTCCAGTCTTCTTTTCTTAAGCCCTTCGAAACTTGCCGCCGCCGCTCACCGGACTTTTTAGCTAGACAGGTACGTGCCGTTTTTGTTATTTTAGCTTTTTTGCGGGTTTGCCGGCAGTCCGACGCCGTCGGCTTGAGAAGACATGTTGCCGAAAAAAAAGAAAGTCTCCTGGATGCTAACGCACGTCTGCCTTGCCAGCTCTTCCGACCAGGTATACCACAACTCGCCTGCCGCGATTCGGACCCCGTGACACCTGCCGTGCCACGACAGACGACAGTTTTCTTCCTCTGACGCCAGTGCACGCGACATCCCGGCTCTGCCTCCGGTCCGCGGCCCCCCGCCGAGTTCTCTCCTTTTCACCCTCCTCCCCTCAAACGATCGACTGCCGCCGCCGCCATGTCCGATGACGGCCCGCTGCTCTTCCGGCCTGTGCCGCGACGGCCCTTTACCGTGCGGCGACAGAGCGCGACGCCCACCGACGACGAGTGCGCCGCGGCGACGCCCGACGTCACCACCACCAGCGCGCCGCCGCCGCCGATTGGCACCGCGTCGTCCTCGCCCGGCCTGCACAGCCACCTGACGGCCGCGCTCGCCGCGTGGAACCGCAGCGGCGGCGACTCGGCGAACCCGTCGGGCCGCGCCTCGCCCGCCATCAGCCGGCCAGCCTCCATCATGAACCTGACGTCGTCGACGCTCTACGGCATCTACTCGCCGACGGCGGGCGGCACGCGCGACCGCGACGACGTCGAGGACTCGCCCTGGGGCATGGGCGCGCAGACGCCCATCCGCCGCCCCGGCGTCGACGACCCGACCTTTGCGCTCATGCAAGAGCGCGCCCACCTCGCCAGCAGCAGCCGCCGCCGCCGCCGGTCCTCGTACAAGGGCGCCGACGTGGCCCGCGCGCTCCCGCCCCCCATGAGCAGCCTCCAGGTCGTCGCGCGCACCGCCGTCCTCTTCGTCCTCGGCCTCGGCTACGGCGCCCTCGTCACCCGTCTACATGAGCACGAGCAGGCGCCGCCGCCGGCTGCCGCCGAGGGCCCGGTCGCGCTGCCCGCCTTCAACTCGACGTATCTGGGCGCGTGGGGCGTGGCCGGCGTCGTGCTCGGCACGCTGCTACCCTGGTTCGACGGTGTCTGGGAAGCCCGCTTTGGCGAGCCCGACGCAGAGGAGGAGTCCGCAGGTGCAGACGGCGACAACGCACCAAGCCAGGTCGTTGATACGGGACTCGACTCTGCGTTGGTGATGCGTGCCATTGGCGCGTTTGTCGGCATTGTTTTTGCCATTGTACGTGGCCCACCGTCTTTCCCTTTTTTCCGTAGAGACCATGCGTTTTCAACACTAACATTGCATCACAGCGCAAACTGGCATGGGACTCGACCCTCCAGATTTCAGCCACGCTGGCCCTCGCCAACCCGCTGCTGTGGTGGCTCATTGACCGCTCGCAAGCCGGATTCCTGCTCTCGGCAGCGGTTGGCCTGGTGGGCTCCCTGCTGCTCCTCGGCATCAGTCCCGACATGATGCCGGCGCCGACGCTGCAGCTGCTGCGCAACGCCAACGCCGTCAACGGCACCGGCGATGATGCCGCCGCCACGGCTACCGGTGGCCCTGTCGCTGACGGCCAGATGATTGAGACGGGCGTGTGGATGCTCAGTGTGCTTTTCTGCAGCTGTCTCTGTTTTGGCAACATTGGACGACGCTTGTTTCTGGGGCGCACGGCGGCGGGCAAGGGCCGCTGGGGCGGCGTGCGATGAATCATTTTTTACTGGCATTGTGGTGGTTTCTACCATTTAGGTTACTTGTGATTTTTCTTGTTCTGGGACTTGGCGGCGGTCTTGGTTTCTTTCTGGATAGGCATGTCAAATACCCTGGATGTATTTTCTACGGTGCGGCGGCAGAGCGCTGCTTGGGGTCCAGCGATGTTTTTGTTTCTTCTTTCCTCTCTTATTACACTCATTTATTAACTAGTACTGCGCTGAGCGGGATGGGCGTTTATAAAGACTGGTCAGGCTGATTCACTGGCCGAAAGCGACGACCCGTGTGTGGGGTGCGACGGTCACGGGCTGCATACCGAATCGAGCCTCATGATTGGAGCGGTCTGTTTTGGACACAGTACATTACTCGTTGCATATGCTTGACAGTATAATCAACGCCATGTTATAACTATTTGTAAGGGGCATGTGACGCCAGTGACTAGCAGAAAGTATGTCGAGAGTGCACACCGACAGGCTGGTAACTGCAGTGTTGACGGACAAATGCGCGACCCGCCTGGATCCCTACATGACATCATAGACAATGATTGGGCCAAGCCGAGCGCGGCGCCAATATAGAGCAGGAATAGATTATACGAGAAGGATGCAAAGAATAGAGTGAAGGGAATGGATGAGAAAATGAAGCAGATGAGGAGAGGTAATTCGGTCCTTGGGGGTTACGTAGATGATAACTAGATGATAGGGAAAAGGGAAAAGCTGGCAGGGAGTGGACAGTGGGCAGTTGGTTCGAGCGGGTGTCTCCCTTTCCCGCATAGCATGTAATAATGTAGCAAAGTAGATGAGGGGAAAGGCGTCGAGAATTCAGTTGAAAAAACATGGCGAAATGGTTGGGTTGGAGCAGTCATGCGCTGGCTGGATGAGGAGACCCTGAAACTCAAGTCGGAACGTCATCGGCCGGACCAGCACCATGGAGTCGGGAGGCCGTAGGGCAAATGCAGAGAGGAGGGAGGGAGAGGTGTCATGACAAAGACTACCACTGGGGCAGAAAAGAACAAAAACATGCAGCATCATACATTTCAGACCAACGCCACCAACCGACGACGGCGAGTGTTGATGGCGGGTTTATAATTTATGCATTCAGCTGGGTGTTACGAGTACGAAGTACGCCGGGTACGCTGCACGACAAAGGCACATGGGACTCTCTCGTGTATCCTCGACCAAAAACATTCCAAGCAGGACAAGAAAAAGAGAAAAAGAGAAAAAAAAAGGAAAGAGGAATATTCAGAATCATCACCTCTTCATCACAAACAGAAAGGTGCTTTTTTTTCGACCGTTTGATACTAGAATACCTAGCGCCTAGCGCCTCTTCTCTCCGTTGTCTGCAGGGGTCTGGAATTTTAGTCGACGATGTCATGCCCCAGCTAATCTGTAATACACCCGCTTTTTCCCATCAGCGTATTCTTTTGGCGCACATCAGCCCCGGCTGTCCCTAGGTATTCATCACTGAACATTCCCTTTCAACGTTGCTCCTTTCCCATTCTCAAACAAGAGAACATTGTTGCAGAACTGCCACTCGTGCAGAATTGTCCGCTCTTGCAAAAAAAAAAAAGCCACGAAAATCAAACAAAAACCCATTGTTCAACCCCCCCCCCCCAAACAAAAAGGCCCCTGCATCGACCGGAAAGCCTCACGCCCGCTCCGGCTCTCCCCAACCGCTCCTCCTCGGTCCACCGCCAAACCTAGTACAATACGTACAATACATCATGACATTCGCCCCCTTGCACACACGACGCATCCACATGCTCCACGGTTCCGTCAACGCTTAGCAACCACGTTTTGTTTTAGTACTTTTACACGCCGAACTCGACTACTCGTTTGCCCTGTTCTTTCATCTTGAAACCAACTGCTCCTTCGCTCCTTTGCTCCTTTGCCGTCTTGACGACTTGGTTCCGCGTCTACTACTCTTCCGAGACGTAAACTTGGACGACGGCTGATTGCACCACCGCCTAACCTCCTACCAATCAACTCCTTGGGCCCGAGGCTCCGCGCGCGCTTCTTTCCTGCAACCGCCGGGGGAAGGCGTTCTACTCAACAACCCCTTGTAACAACCATATGTCGTCGGATGCCTCGCGGCACGTTGCCACCCCGAGGCTCGATCCTCCGCTTCGCAATGAAACCAGCAGCCCGTCCGTCGCCGACTTGACGCCCGCCTCCGCAGACATGGCCCGGAAACTCGACGAGTATCCCTTTCCCTCCCACCCGCAGCAACCCGCACAGGCGTCCGCCGCCGGCGACGTCCCGGAGACGCAGCAGCAGCAGCCGTCACCCGGCCTCCGCTTACAAGACGTCATCCACCTCTTTCACTGCCGCTTATGCGACAAGCTCTTCAAGGAACCCGTCACTCTTCCGTGCGGCCGCAGTATATGCAGGCTGTGTATTCCCGAGCCGCATCTCCGGAGCCGCATCTCGTACCCAGCCGTCGACGACAGGCTGGAAGGGTTCCGCTGTCCCTTTGCGTCCTGCGACAAGGAGCACACCCTCGGAGACTGCGGCGTCGACGTCACACTGAGTAAACTGGCCGAGCATATCCGCGACGAGTGTGCCCAGCGCCATCAAGACGCGGCCAACCAGTCTCCCAGTACAGCACCGCCTCTGCAACAACACAGCCTTGCCTCGGCGCCCCCATCAGAGTCGCAGGACTCGGATCCCCTCCGTGACACGGAGGCACCATATCACCATGAACCACAAGAACAAACAGCAGTCGGGAACGAGCCTGCTGTAGACCAGGATGAATCGCCCCAACCAGAACCTCCCTCCTTTGCGCGCACCCAACAGCTGGCCCGCTCAGAACTCGACTGCCAAGTCTGCTACGCGCTCTACCACGACCCGCTGACCACCGGCTGCGGCCACACCTTTTGCCGGTCCTGCCTGCACCGCATCCTCGACCACTCGCGGTACTGCCCCATGTGCCGCCGGCGGCTGTCCATCAGCCCGCTGCTCAACCGGGCGTCGTGCCCGTCCAACGCGGCGCTCGCGCGCATCATTGCCGCGCTATGGCCCGCCGAGCGCGCCGCGCGCAGCATCGCCGTGCGCGCCGACGAGACGGCCCGCGAGCGCGACCTCGAAACGCCCCTCTTCGTCTGCACCCTCGCCTTCCCCCAGATGCCCACCTTTCTGCACGTCTTTGAGCCGCGCTACCGGCTGCTCGTCCGCCGCGCCCTCCAGGGCGACAAGACCTTTGGCATGGTGCTGCCCCGGCCCCCGCGTCACGCCGACGCCGCCGCCTTCTACGAGCTCGGCACTCTTCTCCGCATCGAGCACGCCCAGTTCTACGCCGACGGCCGCTGCCTCATCGAGACCGTCGGGCTCTCCCGCTTCCGCGTCCTGCGACACGCGGCCCGCGACGGGTACGCCGTCTCCGCCGTCGAGCGCGTCGACGACATCAGCCTCGAGGAGGAGGAGACGACCGAGGCCGCCGAGATGGCCGCTGCCGCCGCCGCCCCGCCGCCACCGTCACCGTCATCTGACGCGGGCAGCGAGCACACCGCCGTCATCACCGTGCCCACGCTCGAGACAATGGCGACGCGCGACCTGATGCGGCTCGCTACCGACTTTGTGCAGCGCATGCGCGACAAGAGCGTCCCGTGGATGACGGACAGCATGCTCGCCATCTACGGCGAGTGTCCCGTCCAGGACCCCGCCGTCTTCCCCTGGTGGCTCGGCAGCGTCCTGCCCGTCAGAGACGCCGAAAAGTACCGCCTGCTCGGCTCCGCCAGCGTCCGCGAGCGTCTCAAGATTTGCTGCCGATGGATCATCGAGTGGGAGACCAAGACGTGGTATGCGCAAACTAGTTGGCGTTTTTGAACCGAAGAATGAAAAAGCTGACGTCATTCCAGGTCGTTGAATTCGTGCTCCATCTTGTAAGACAAAAAGGAATGCAGAAATACAAACCAACACCACTACAACAGAAAAATACCAGGCAGAAACAGTCGCTACCATTTTTTACTTTTTTTGTATATACATGCTCCTGCATATCCTGCTTGCGCCTCCCTCATAATCTCAGAATTAGCGTCATCGAACGAGTTTTTGCACACGTTGCCCATCGTGTCCCCGTGCTGCCTTGCACATCTACCATTGATCTGCAGCCCCGCGGGTGCTCTGCGCCATGCTCGTGTCGCCCCATGGCGGCGGCGGCGGCGACGACGGTGGCTTCGGGATCGAATCCCACGATCCTGGCATGACGTTGCTGGTCTCCGCCGGCGCCGGCTCGCTTGCCGGTGGCGGATCCCATGAGTTTTCTCCTCCAGTGTTGTTGGTGTTGGTGTTGTTATTATCCCAGGAATTTCCGCCGCCGCCGCTGCCGTAGCCGCCGTCCGCGTTCCAATTGTCATTGTTGCCGCCGCCGCCGTTGTTCGCTGCGCCGTCGCCCCATGTATTGGCGTCCGGTGCGGGAGGGTTGTTGTTTCCGCCGCTGTTGTTGCTGTTGTCCCACGTGGCGTCGTTGGGCTGGGTCGTGTCCGGCGCCGGCGCCGGTGTCGCGGACGACTTGGCCGGGCTGTTGCCGTTACGTAGGTCCGCGGCTGTTTTGCTGGGCGTGTAGTACGGACTCGTCGTCTTTTTCTCGTCACTCTGTTTTCCACCCACTCCCGTATTAGCCTGTCTCTACTTCAACACTCCGGCGCGCCAATTCATGTCCACACATCGTCATGACGTACCTTGCTTGTCGGGATCACATTGTTCGCACCAGTCTTGTCGTCCGCCTGGCTGACACTCGGGGCCGCCACCGGACTATTCTTGCTAAACGCGCCCTTGTTGAACTGCCCGCCTGCCTCCTGTTGCTGCTGCTGCTGCTGCTGGAACATGGGATTGACAAACGGCGGGAACCCCGGCTGCGCAAACTGTCCCATGGCGTTCCACTGCTCCGGCGGCGGCGGCATGCCAGCCTGGTCGTACCCGGGCACGTGCTGAAAGCCGTAATAGTACGGATTCTGCGACGGATGCGGCACGCCGACGGGGAGCGGCCGCCCGGCGGCCTCGCGGCGCGGGTAGAGGGACCGCGTCTGCCCGTGGTGGTTGCCGTAGACGGGCCCGTAGTAGACGCGCATCACGTTGGCGGCGGCGTCGTAGAAGGCGTTGGGCGGCGGGTCGTCGGGCGTCTCGACGACGTCCTCGGTTTGCACGACTTGGGCGCGGATCGGCCCGATGAGGTTGGGGCGGCGCGCGTGCGGGCCGGGAAAGGCAGAGGGGTAGGCTTGGGGCGCGTCGGGCTTCTTGTCGTTGACAGCGGCGTGGGAGGCGACTTCTTCGGCCTTGTTTTCCTCCTCTCTACTCTTCCTCTCGGCCGCAGCCTTCTTCTTCTTCTCCGCCTTGGTCGCGGCGGGCTTCTTCTTGGCTTCTTCGCGCTCCTCCTCATCCGTCGTCTCCTGGCCCGACTCGGACGCTTCGTCATCGGCGTCTGCGCCATCCTTTTTCTTGGCCTTGTTCTTGTCCTTGTTCTTCTTCCCCTGACTTTGGTGGTTGTTGTTCTTCTCCTGCTTCTTGTCCGCCTTCTTTTTGGCTGCTTTTCCGTCGTCCGTGTCGGAAGACGCGGCGCTGCTGCTGTCCTCGGACGACTCGCTGTCCTTGGTCTTGGACTTTCCGCTGCTCTTCTTGCGCCGCTTCACGCACCGCGAGCACTTGCACGTCGCGTGCGGCTCGCCGTCGCTCGAGCTCTCTTCCGACGAGACCAGCTGGTCCTTGGCGGTGGCGGCGTCCGCGGACTCGCCGTCCGACGAGCTCTCTGCCAGCGTGGCTGAGCTATCCGACTCATCGCTCTTGGGCTGCTTCAGCGCCGACTTTTTCGTCGAGCTCTTCTTGTCCCCGTCCTCTTCGAAGCGGACCTTTTTGACGACAGCTTCGGCCGCCTCCTCCGCCACCGCCGCCGCCGCAGACTTGGACGATGCCCTGCCCGACCGCGGAAAGGTAATCTTGAGCGTGTCCTCTTCTTTCTCGTCGTCGGTTGTCACTTCTACCCGAATCACATCGCGTGGAGGAGGAGGAGGCGGCGGCGGTGGCGGGGGCTTGGGTTTTGGCTTGGGTTGATGGGCGCGGCGCGCGGCGGGCAACGGGCCGCCAATGACCCATTCGCAAAAGAGCAAAGGGCCGCTGTTTTTCTTGCGAGGCATCGAGTTGGGGCTCGGATCAAGAGCAATGACATGACGTGTTCCCACAACGGAGCAATTGTTGGAGATAGGCAAGCAGTGGTAGTTATGTTCTTGGAGACGGGTGCCAGGGAAACCAGTAACTGCCACTCCGTTCGTGGAGGGCTGCCAGCTGGCAGCGTCTGTCTTGGTGACCGAGATCAGCAGCCATACAGGTGCAAACGGAGGCAACTTTGGTCAAAGAAAAACTTCCCGGTTACAGTTCCCAGGGAACGATTTACTGTATATAGCCAGTGAATGAGCTGCCACAATGCTCCTATGCGTTGAGTCTTGAAAATGAATGATGTATTTCCTTAATCCTACTAGGGCATTTGCAAAATAAACGGATAGCACTCCGGCTTTCTTATTTCTGAATTCTCCAAAGTTTCAATTCCACCATTCCTCTTGTCCTCGCACTCTGAATGACGCAGGGATCTCCGACTCAGGACATTTCCACTCCCCTTTCAACTGGCGGCTAGTCATGTATCTTCGTAATGAATGAAAATGACTTCATAATGTTAGCCAGAATCTACCTTCACCTGTAGGTTGCTGCTCACCTAATCCGGTAGTCGAACGGCGTAGAACCAGCCTTCATCGGTGACGTACCAGCGGCAGTCACCCATGTGGTCAATAGTAAACCTGTTGCGCTGGGTCCAGTTCCCGTCAACTTCACGAACGTAATAAAAGCGCGAGGGGTCGTCGTCTGCGGGCTTGAACTCCTGGGGCTCAAAGAGCTTGTTGGCGTGCGCAAACTGCAGCTGCCGCAGCGTCTCCTCCCCCTGGGTGCGCCCCAGACCAGACACGTCGGGGGGGTTGCCACTATTACCTGCAAAGACGGGGATGCCTCCGCCGCCACCCATTATGACCTGCGGCGGCGCCTGGATCATGCCGGGCGGGACCTGGCCGGCGACGAAGACGGGCTGGCCGGCGGCCATGGGCTGGGGCATCAAGCTCGGCTGCTGGCCAATGACGAAGCCGGGCTGGCCAGCGGGCACGGCGCTGTATGCAGGCTGCTGCGAAGGACGTTAGCGCGCGGTTCGGATAGATTTTGTGCGGAGTGAATTTGGTGTGTGTGTGGTCAGGCAGCTCAGATGTTTTCAGTTAAGCTATGTCGGGCTTTCACTAGAAAGTCCCGACAGCTATAAGTAAGTTGCTCATCATGGTCTGCCGACGCACCACCCTGCTGTCTGCCAGGAACACTTGCATAGTAGTGGTAGCCATCGGTGTAAAATGCCTGGGGCATAATGACGGTGAACGAGGGAGGGCAAGGATCTGCTGGAGCGTGAACAAAGTGCAAAAAGGGAGGACCGACAGGAGGACCCGGTGGGAGCGCCACCGCCGCGTCGAAGCGAGGCACGTAAACATGCGGGATAGGACCAAATGTGGTGTCAGGCACCGGCGGCTGAAAGTTGACGCCGAACGCGGGCGGTCCGGCGTTTTGGTAATTGGCCATGGTGTTGACGTCCGTGGCCGGAGCAGCAGCAGTACCAGCGAGCAGAGCAGAGGTTCTTCGATGGCGGGGGAGACGGTGATTGAAGTGATGCTTGGGAGGAGAAGAAGGATAAGAAGAAGCAGGAGGGGAAAGGGGAAAGTGATGGTAGCAGTGGTGATGAACAAGGGTGTGAAATACCGGGTGACAGATGTTGTTAAACGCAGCAAAGTGAGGAGGAACGGCAGCCGGGTAAAAGTGCGTGCCAGCTGGCGCGCCGTTTGCAAACAGAGGCACGCCTCCCTGCGCCCAGTAACCTCCGTTTGAAGGCACCTGGTACTGGTACTGCTGGTACTGCTGCGGCTGGTTGAGGCTCATGCGCGGGTCGGCGCTCGTGTACCACTGCCCGGGTCCAAATTGGCTACCAGGCGGCGCACCGACTTGCGGGAAGCTCGTAGGCTGGTTGTCAACAGGCGGTGCTGCTTGTTGCTCTGCTTTTCCAGACGACGGCGGCTGTGCCTTGCTGGGACCGGGACTGTTCGGCGCTGAGGTGGCCTGCGGCGGCGGAGGGTACGTCTTGCCGCTGCTGGACGCGCTGCCGTTGGTCTCAAAGTGGACGTGTTTGGAGGGCATCGGGACGGGCTCCTTTCCCTTGCGCGGCGTCCTGGGGTCGTCGAGGTCAGGCATGGCGGATACGACGCCGATGCCGCGCGCGAGGCGAGGGTGACGAGGAGATGGTTGTTGTAGAGCCGCGAGCAGCGTCGAGAGGGAGCGAACGAGGTTGTAGAGGCAGGATTTGAAGTTGGCAGGGAGAATTGGCATTTCCCAATGGGAAAACAAGAGAAGAGAAAGTGGTCAAGGAAAATACGAAAGGAAAAACAAAGCGACGCATGCAAGGTGGCAGGCCTTTTGCCGAACAAGGAGCAAACGCAGCAACTGGCCGGCGGTGGCCACGCACAACTGCGGGCTGCTGAGAACTTCCTCAGGCAGTCGTGAAGAAAAACGGACAGACGGATGATTTGAGGTACTGTGAACAGAGCGCCTGGGGTTGCGGCAAAAGAATCAACTAGGCAAAAGACGTCGTCACTTACAAGTTGCTGAAGCTGCCACGAGCCCCCATCGTGCACCCAGACGGACTGCTCTGGCATTCTATCAAGGGGATCTTCGTATTCAGTCCAAGTCCACGGGAAGCATTTGCACATGCTGGGCTGGGGGGTGGTCAGTAATGATACTATGAACGCACGAGGTTGTTTGGGGCAAGTTTTCGCTGATACCCTCGTCATGGACAGGACGACAGCCCAGGCCAAACAGACGGCGTCAAACAGACAACGCCAAACGGACCATACCAAGGAGTCAGATTCACAGTTCAACCAAAGCCCCAACCACCCGCAGTACTTCACCACAACGCAGCAGCCACATTCACCTGATCCTCAGCTCCGTCTTAACCCAAAGTGTATGAATAGTATTGACAACCAACGCCGTGGCCAAAACGGTATAATGCTCGCTGGCCCGTGCCAGATTTGTAATGTACATTTTTGTTCCAAAATTAAACTCATTGGTGGGGAGAGTTTTCATCATCCGCGGCCATTCGCCTTCCACAAGGCCTGAAGCGTCCTTCTTCTTTCCCTTCCTAATTTCCCCTTCTATTGCGCGAAAATGAATGGTATACAAAGTGGCCGCCCAAAATTCAGCTAGACCACTCGCAACAAATAATATGCTTGCCCAGAGGAGCCGTTACAGAGTCATGTCCTGCGGGTATCTCGTCTCCAGCAAGTCGAATTTGGAATTCCTTTTTTGGGGTTTTCGTAGTATTGTAAATTGAGTGTGTTTTCGTGATTTTTACAGCGTCTCGAGCTCGGTAGAGGCCAGGACTGGCTCGGGGACAGAGAATAGGGATCGTCGGGCAATCTATCAACACATTAGCAGCACATCCAGCCCGGGTCTGGAGCAAGGGGGTGAGCGCGTACAGTCCAGGTAGCAGCCACGGAGCCGACAATACCGCCCGATATGAGCATCGGGCGCAGGCCACGCGTGCTCTTGAACAACATGCCGCTCAGCACGCCCGCCGCAATCGAATTAGCTGCATCGTGCTTGCCGCGGGCGTACCCAATCAGCGAGTTGGTCATGTTGTACGCAATCGCAACCACGCCCGCCGAGTTGCCGAGAAAGGGCCCGCGGCGGGTGATGGCGTTGAGCGTTGCGTTGAGGCGCAGCTTGGGAGGCTGGCCGGCCGACTTGCGCATGCCCTCCTGCAGGCCCCAGGCGCCGCCGAGGCCGAGGCCGGCGACGTACGTAGTGCCGGTGCCATAGCACAGGTCGTCGGTGAAACCGCGTGAGGGAATCACTGACTGCCCGCCGGGCAGGTCCGACAGCGCCGAGTCCTCGAGCGACAGGTACTCGAGCGTGTCCCTGTTGAGGCCCGCGAGCGGATGCAGCTGCGACGGGTCGGCAAAGGCGGTGCTCTGAAGGAAGGACTCGACGCCCTGGCCTTCGGTCGGGTCGTAGGTCACGGCGGAGGAGGAGGGTCCGAATGTCGTCGTGGGTTCTGGCTGCTTCTGCGGTTGGGGCTTATTGCCGCCCGAAAAGGCGTTCCAGAGGGAGGACATGGCGGGCGCCGGATTATTAGAATTGAATAGGTAGAGTACAACAAGATGGGCGAAGTAAAAAAAAAAAAAAAGAGCGCAGCGCCAGAAGAGAAAATGGAAACAAGAGGGCGTCGTAGTCGTCGTAGGGCGCCGGGGTGTGCGATTGGAATATGGATGACCCAGACAAGAGAGGCGATAAGGATGAAATGGCTACAGTAGAAATTTTTGGAAGCGTTCCGAGCAGGCCCGCGATTATTAGCCCCCCTGGTCTTGCGCTGCTGAGCCGCCCCTGGGAGCTCACTGGAGGCACGTGATCCAAGAAAAATTAAACGCGAGATGGCAGCTTTTGAGATTTAGCCAGTGATGGGACTTGCGATTTCGACATAGATTTACTTATTTTGGAGCCCTTTACGACAGTTATTAACGCTCCCATAAGAATCGGTCGTGATAAATAGAGGGATACAGCCAGATATTCCTGGCGGTAGCTCATCGATACAGTTGCGATAGCTCAAAATTTCTACAGACGTGCACTTTTTGACTGCCGCCCTGTCCGCAACTCCTTCAACAGCGAGTAAGCCCTCAGCTAGTCGTCCACGTATATAATTCGCAGGACTCATCAAATCCCGTTGTCGGTAGGTAGAATGTCGTGATCCGCCCACAGTCAAATGCCCTCGATGGAAAGGTGACGGCAAAATGACTGATTGGGAAGGCAGATCACTATTTTTATTGGTGGCCGGGAACGGAAGAAAACCCACAGAGATTCGTGGTAGCCCTCAGTCAAGCCGCAGTGTATGCGGAGCCTCCGTGAAAATTATTTAAACACTTGACGGTGTAGAAATAACCCTAACTGATGATGAGGAGAGAAGAAGAAAAAGTTGAAAAGTTGCGGCGGCTGCGAAGCTTTTTATTGTTCATGGAGTGGGGCGGGCCCCGCTAGGCTGATTTGGGAATCTCTGCCATTGGCAACCGACTGGAGCTTGGTGATGGAGCAAGAGATTTACCCATGTCAGAAGCAGAGATTTCAACGTGGCACGGTTCAAATATGCATAAGTTTTCATAACAAGCTAAAGAAAATTTCATATGTCAATTTGAATACAGTGTCCTGAAATTATACAAGCGCTTTTCACGCAGTATGTGAGAGAAGAGTGCTGCTTCTTTCGCTATAGCTTTATTATTCGAGTACCCCAACGCCATTAAAAACAGATGCCGCCAACCCCCATTTTTTGTCATGGTTTTCCCATTCCTTGGTTCACAGTTACTAGTGTCATGGATACAGATGAATAAAGAAAATACAGAAGCACTGTTGTCGTATGTGCATCTTAGCGATGATTCGAGTCGTGACGCTGCAGCAGAGGGCGCTGGTCCCATTTGTCTGCTTGAGGCGTGGTTCCGTTGGTGTCGACGTGACGACTGGGCCGGGGACTCTCTACCACGCGCTCCTCCTCGTCTTCGGACGTTTCCAGCTCGTCATCATCCGTCTTATAAATGAAATACTGAGCAAAGACGCCAAAGTCCATAAAGAGGGTCACGAGAGCGCCGGCGAGCCAACTGAGGTTCACGAGGAGGTATTTGCCGTAGATCTGGCCAGCCTCGCCGTGTTTGCAGCGCTTGTCGCCGCACTTGGGCTCGAAAGCAAAGATGGAGAGCACATATGTGATGTTTCCCAAACAGGCGAATAGAAAGAAGAGCATGCTCAATCCGTCGGTGGTCTTGCGACGGTAGTTGAGAATCAACTGTGGCATCCTAGAGGCAATGTAGGCGATAGCGCACAGATAACCGAAGAATTGGCCGACTTTGTTGAACTCGAGCGTGTCATTGGTGTTTTCGGGCCGGTGTTCCCGTGGCCCCTTGGCACGCTCGCCCAAGAACCAGCCCATGACACCGGCTGCGCAGACCATGATCACAATCAATGAGTTCCACGTAATGGTTTGAAGAACTGTTGGTGCCGGCCGCGGCTCTTTGGACGGTTCAGAAATATGCGGGACAGCCGGTGAGAGGCCAGTCCAGTCGAAACCCCTGCGTTCTTGGGGTGCGTCGAGGAGGGCGGTTCGCTCGTTTGGTCTGCTGTCTGATTTGGGAGTGGGTGCAGGGTCCTTCCAGGTAAACCCGCGATAGTAAAAACACTGTGCGAGTAGTACAATATCGGCCAGAGTATAGTAGACGGCGAGGATGATCTGCAAGGTAGATGTTGGTAAGCACGTGCCTGTTTACACAAGAGTGTGGCAAGACCTACCATTGTGGGTAAGACGCCCTGCATGACGGCGCCGATGATGTTGAAGACATCACCGAGCAGCCAGACAATGATGAATTGGATGGATAGGGCATCCGCATTGCCGCGTCGAAAATTTTGGATAATCTGGGGGGAGAAGACGACAACTATGGGAAAGGGTTGTTAGTACATATCAGACGATGAGATGGGACGGGTCGATGGGTAGCGTACCCCAGCAAGCAATGGAGATGGATCTAGGCACAAGTCAGAATACAATGATAGGAGTTTGTAGCGTAAGAAATAAGGAATAGTAACTTACCCGCAGATGCCAGAAATGGCCTCGACGTTGAGGTGGAAAGTCGAGGTCGGCGGTACCATGACGTCGAATCGGCTTTGTAGAAGCAGATGGTGAATGCTGTAACAAGCGACGGTGGCACAAGGCTTTCCTCGTACGCTACCAGCGAACAAGAGCAGTCATGCGAGCAATACCGAGTATGTGGGAATCAATGTCACGAAGGAAAAGTCGCACGTGTGAATTGATTCATGCTTAAAGAGAAACAAGAGGGGGAGATGTAGTGGACAAGAAGAAGACTGCTAGCGGGATTGACGGGGAAGATGGGGCCGGAAATGGAGACGAGAGAGTGAGTTTTTCTCTGAATTTTTCCTTCTTTCTTTCTTGGATTCCGTTTTTAGCGCCTACAGGGGTGGATGGATCGAGGGGGGCGAACGGGTTGGATTTGTTTGAGTTGTGTCACTGGATGGCGTATTTTAGTGGACAAGGGTGGCACCAGAGGGACTCGAGAGCGCCTGTCAGTGGCTGTCGTGGTCTGGACGAGGCTGCGTGCGACCCGGGCAGCCGGGTGGTGCACCGTGCAGCCGCTGAAACCTGCAGGTTCTGTAGGTTAGGTTAGGTACAGGGAGGTAGGTATCCGTTTGCCGAACGGAGTACAAGGATTTTAATTAAATCCGAGCAACTGCCTACGCAATTTGCCGTCAATAATTGTTCATTGTTCGATTAACTGCCTGGTACGGATCATACCTTGATGGCTTAAACACACGGCTCACTGTCCACTCTACGGAGAGGTACTAGGTACTGTCCACTTTGTCACGGAATACAACCTACATCTGGAGGCACAGGTACCTACTACAAGTACCTTAGTAGCTTTCTCAGCTGAACTTTTGCCAGGCACCTCCTAGCCGCTGAAAACGGCAAGCACCCTGCTCAGCTGGTCTTTGTTGAAACTCAAAAGGCTTTGTGCCTGGTGAATTTGGCACTCGAGGTACGTCGACTGGTTCATGACGGCATCAAGTACCTTGCCCAGCTGGCTTTTACCAGTCCATCGAAACTTAAAAAAACAATGTGCCTTACCTACAGCTGAGACGTAGATAGGCAATTCACTCTATTTCGGGACAATACATGACCTCTTGTCTGGTGTCTGATACCAACCTCATTGCCATTACCGAAATCATTGTTCTCATTGCCATTTTCATCATAGGTGTCTTGCTGTCCGTGGCTGTTGCAGGCCACCATCACCATGCATCGGACTATCCCCACGAGTCCGCTCCCGCCCCCCGCCATCGGCACAATCACTCACCCCTCCAACGCCGCTCAATTACTCATCTGCCGTACTCAAAGTCCGCTCCCATGATACCATTCCTCGAATTTCGACTTGATACGTTATTTAATTTGTCCAAATCGCAATTACTGCAGCTATTCTATTCTACCCGTTCCTCCAGTCGCCGCTAAAATCCCCCTCTCACCAGTCCAAAGTTCCACGATAGCTCCCCCCACCAATCCTCCTCGGATCCCCCACCACCCATCATCATCACCACCGCCCTCTCCCGCCATGCCGTCACCGCCCGTCAAAGTGATGCTCCCCGTCAACCCCGCCCTCCAAGACGACGACTCCATGCTGACGCGCAAGTTCGGCCAGGAGGTCGTCAACTACTACTCAGGCACCCGCCTCAACCGCTACTCGTTCCTCCGCGCCGACGCTGCCTTTTTGCGCCGCGCCGCCCTCGCCCCGGCCGCCCGCTACGTCGCCCTCAACAACCTCGCCGCCGTCGTCGTCGACAAGTCCCAGCTGGCCACGTTTTCGTACGACGATGTGAAGCCCCTTCTTGGCGCCGAGCCCCCCGTGGTGCTCGAGGAGAAGACCGTCGTGGCCCAGTTTGACTCGACCAAGGCCACGCCCCTCGTCGTGTTTCTGGGACTGGTGGAGGGTGCGATTGGCGGCGCAGCGGACGAGGACCACAAGACGGTTGAGATTGAGTCGACAAGTCATGGAAACGTGAAGGCGCAGCCGTACTTTGCCGTCGACGTCACCCCGCGCGATTCATACAAGGAGGCGGCCGAGGAGTTCCAAAAAACGTTTGAGGCGCGAGGCTTCTCTATCGAGAACAACCCGAGGGCCATGGCGCTTCTCCCTGAGCACGGTACGACATACTACACCGCCCCGCGAACTTTGACTAACGTGCCTGTCCCCCCAGCCTCCATATTTGCCCAGGCCCGATCCATGATTGACTGGAACACGCGCAACCGCTTCTGCGCCGGCTGCGGTTCCCGCAACCTCTCCATCCAGGGCGGCTACAAGCGCGTATGCCCGTCCGCCGACCTCGCCGGCAGCTCCGACGGCAGCACGCCCGTACCCCGTGACGACTGCCCAACCCGCCACGGCGTGTCCAACATCTGCTTCCCGCGCACCGACCCGACCATGATTGCCGCCGTGGTGTCCGCCGACGGCCGCCGCGTGCTGCTCGGCCGCCAGGCCGCCTGGCCCACCGACTGGTACTCAACCCTCGCCGGCTTCCTCGAGCCCGGCGAGTCCATGGAGGAGACGGTCCGCCGCGAGGTCTGGGAGGAGAGCGGCGTCCGCGTCGGCCGCGTCGTCATCCACTCCACCCAGCCCTGGCCCTACCCCTCGAGCCTCATGATTGGCGCCGTCGGCCAGGCCCTCCCCGGCGGCGAAGACATCACCCTTCACGACCAGGAGCTCGAGAGCGCCCGCTGGTTCACGCTCGAGGAGGTGCACGTCGCGCTCGCGAGGGGCGGGAGTGCGCTTGGGGGCCCGACGCCCCCAGCGTACAAGGCCGGCGACTTGCGCGTGCCCCCGCCGCAGGCCATTGCCCACCAGCTGATGAAGGCCGTCGTCGAGGGCAAGTATACCGGCGCGTCCAAGATTTGAGACATTTTCTAGCAGTAAACGTTTATAAAGATGACATATAACATGGAGAGGCGTTGGGGCAGTAGAGTTGACCGGGTTGATATGCATATGATGATGACACGGAAAAAAGTAGCAATATATAAGTACAATGTAAGCGGGAATTTGTACTGAGATAGAATAGAATAGATCTTATAAACTTTATTAACCATATTCCACAAGGACAAATGGCATCAGCTTAAAAGTAGCCTGTGCTATGTCTGCAGAGCGATAAACGACGCGCCCTCGACCGTCGGGGCCGTTTGCCACGCCGTCATGCCCCGTTCATACAGCGCCAACCACACGGCATCCGCGTTAATCACCTCGAGCGCCTCCCTGACCTCCGGCCTCTTGTCCAGCACGTCCACCAGCAGCTCCAGCACGTCGTCAAACATGCCGTCTTCGATGCGCACATGCGCCACCACCGCCGTCAGCAGCGCGACAACCGCGGCCCATATGCGCGCCGGCGAGGCGTGCTGCCCGAGGCCGCTGCCGCTCGCCGCCGACAGCTTCTCCTCCTTGCGGCGCAGCGTGCCGGCGCGCACAACGTCCAGCCCGTGTTCTCCGCGCAGCGGCACCATGACATCCACCGAAGATGCCGGCCCCTGGATCCGTCCGCCTGCTGCGGCGGCGGCGGCGCGCTTTGCTGCCCGGCAAAATTCGCGCAGGTCGTCGTGCCACGCCGTCTGGAAGCGGGACGCGAGAAAGTCGCCCGCCGCCGCGCACAGGCCCGCGAGCGCGGCGCACGCCTCGACAACGACGTACGGCTCTGGGTCGCGCAGCCGGCCGATGACGACGGGCCACAGGGTGTTGACGAGCGGGAGGAAGGCGTCCTCGTCGGCGGCGAGCACGCGCGTGGCGGACGTGAGCAGCGCGAGCAGGGATCGTCGCAGCCGCGGCGTCGGCGATGTCAGGTAGTGCTGCGTCAGGCTGGCTACGCGGCTCAGAAGCTGGTAGGTGGACGAACTCGGCGGCTTCTCTTCGCTGGGGGGCTCGCCGCCCGTGTCGGTCATCTCCCCATCCCCATCCTTCTTTTCGGGCTCGCCCCAGGGTGTTTGCGGGTGGCCTTTTAGTGGTTGCGTATCCCGCGCTTCTTCTTCGTCACGCTTCCTTCGCTCATCGCGTTTGTGCAAAAAAACCATCAGGCTGTTCAAGTCTTCCGGCTGGCCGGGCTGTTTTTTGTGATGGATTTCCTTTTTCTCGTGGTCTTTGAGCAGCCGCATGCTTTCCGTCTTGGCGCCTTGATCCACAATCTCTTTGAGCACGTCGAACAGGCTCTCGACGAACATGGGGTACCCGTGATAGTTATCCAGGGCGGCAAATATGGACTCGACAACGTCATCCATGAACGGAATGAGGCGCGGTCCCGCCAGGCGTATCATCATCGTGAGCACTTTTGTGGACGCTGGCGATATATCCAGCGTATTGAGGCGCAGCGCCACAGAGCTGAGCATGTAGTCGACGTTGCTGACAATCAGGTCCGAGACGGAATCATATTTGCTCGCTGAAGCCAAAATGTTTAGCGTAGCCACGGCATGCTGTTGAAGTTGGGGATCGTGTGACCCTAGAAACGTTGCAATGGGGAATAAGACGTCGATGAGTTCTGGCCTAAACGACTCTCCAGCTCTCTGGGAAGCATAGGCGACAACTTCGAGCGCGAGAGCCTCCATGCGCCAGTCGACCGCTGACGCATCGCTGTGGGAGTCTAAGATATCAACCGAGAATGAATACAGTTCGCTCAAAGCAGCATCGGTGTCGTAAGATCCATCTGAAACGTCGGATAAGTTGAGAAGGGCATCGTCGTCGGCAGAGGAGGCATGCGCAGCTTTGATCATCTCCAGCGACAGCCAGTAGGCAGCGACTTGACTTTTCTCTGCATTGCTCCTAGCGAAATCCACCATATCAGCTAGCAGTGCGCCTGACTGAGAAGTCAAGCTAACGGCTCGGAGGAGAGACACAAGCTCTCGCTTCAGGCCTCGTTGACTTTCGTGTGAAAGTATTACAGGGGGGTGCGACGTCTTGCCAGCAGCTTCCACCATGGACTTGGTCTCTAAGAGCTGGATCGGCGTGGCGTTATCGGAAATTGATGTTTTGGTCTGGAGCAGTGAGGTGATGGTCTCGCAGAGTGTATTAGACAAGGCAGTTTCCATTGTGGCGGATTCGATGTGTAGACTCCTCAAAAGTTCGATGCCCTTGGAAAAATTGTGGATTGCAATCCGTTTAACATCCTCGTCGGCAGATTGCATGTGTCGCGGTAAGCTCGACATCCAGTCATACACCGTCGTTTTCACCACATCCAGTAGCTCGGGGTATATTCCAGTTATATGAGACAGGTTTGTTTCGGTGAAAGAGTCGCGGTCGCTTGAATCCAGGATGATGGCCGTCTCAACAAGCAGACCCGAACAGTTGGACAAGGTTTCGTGGCACTCATCCAACAATGTAATGCACAGGCGATCAAGTGCAGTCCTAACATTTTCAGATTCATGTGCGCGGAGCTTCATCATTGTCGCCAAGGCCTTTTTGACCTGCCCGACCGTGGCATTCAGCCAGGCTGGTCCGAGAACCTTGTTCTTATCATCTTCCTCGGCCTCATCGTTGTTCTTCTTGACAAGAATCGATCGCGTGCGCAAATCGCCAAGGACGCTTGTCAATATGACCCTCACGGCGTCCAGGCAACCTGCAAGCACCGAGGTTTTATATCGCGCCGGCGTGTGGAGAACCATGGCAAGTTTGGATAATGAGCCAGGTAGAAAAGTGGCCAATGCGGCACGGTCTCTGATTGCTCGATACAGCGCAACCAAGGAGCTGAGTGCCTCTTCCTGTATCGCTGGAGCGACGCCGTCTGTAATGCCTTCTAGTATCGCCGTGACGCCGTGACCCAGCTGCGGAATTGCTGTGGGCGCTGCCAAACCGGCAGCAGCCTGTGCGGATCCTGCGGCAGCATCGAGGAGGGCTGTCATGGTGCGGAACGACTCCAAGATAAGTTCTTCGGGCTTTTCTTGGTTTTCGTCGGAACCAGGCACGCCGTCAATGAGAAAGACGAGGAGGGTAAATATTTGCTGGACGAGAGCGGGCGATATCCTCATTCGCCAGCCACATTGAATGAGAATTCGCAGGCAGGCTACACAATTCTCTATAATCGTCATTGGGTACCTGGTCATTTGCCGGAATATATGGGACAATGGGAAAAAGACATATTCGGCCAGCTTATCGTGTAAGTCGGTGGATGACGACTGCAGGATATCCAATAGCGTAGTGGTGAGAATCTGCAATTCGCGGGCTGAGGACGGCCCATTTTCATCCCGAATTGTAAGTCGACTAATTTCAACACAGCATGGTTTTAGCTGTGCGGTCAGTAAGAGGGAGAGTGCGCAGGTGGCTACGTGCTCACCCTTTGGAATAAGGCGTTGCTCGCCACTGAGTCCGTTACTGCCTCCATGGCTGTTGGGGGTTGTCAAGATGCGTGGCGCCGCATTTCCGAAGCTGTGTATCAGCTATGAGACTTGCAAATACCCGACAATAGAGCACTTGTAGGACACGTCTTAGCGTGGTAGTTTGCGTATCATGATGGACAGGTGAACGTAGCAAATGGTGCCCGCAAAATTGCTAGCGAATGATGAAGCTTTCGACCCGCACTGTGCCAGAATGAGGAGTCGCACTATTACGGCAGCAAGCAGCACGGTGTCTTGAATAAGTCCAGTTTCTCTAATCCAAATATTCAAATAAATCAGTAGTATATCTATGGTGACATAAGATCACAGTATATGGCAGGTACCTATTACAGATGCCACTTGTGTGCAACAACGCCGTTATGCCCGCTGCAGCACATTGTAAGTTTGGAGGTGTGGAAGGTTGTGGTGTGGTGCGGCAGATGAAGTGAGTGAGAAGAACTGTGACATGGTCCGCCCTAAAAATTAGCCAGTCCTACAATTTTCATATTACGTTTTTTCCTTGCCTTTTATTCGGTCGTTCGTATTTGTTGCTTGGTGGTGGTAATGGTAGCCAACCTACAAGCTAGATTTTGGGTAGAGTACCGTACCCAGAGAAGGGAGCCCGTAGTCCTGTCCGCACATGCTTTGAAAATCGATTGTCATTTACAAATTTTTAAATGTGATATCTTTCGCATAACTCTCATAGTAATCACCATAATTTTCCCCAGTACCTGACAGAATTGTCGGCCGCGGTACAACATGACCCCACTTCTGGCTTCCCACCTGCAGTTGAGTGATCACGACATGCCTCCTCATCAGACTCTGGCCCTCACTCTATCTCACACAGCCGCTGTACCTCTGAACTGATTCTATATTCCTGCATCGTAATTCAGTCATGGCTTCTTCATCCCCTTTTTCGGTTACGGTTCACCCGTACAAGTCTCGCGTCACCGGCTCGGCTGCCTACGAGCTCGGCCCAACGAGTGCGAAGAATGCCATCCTCTTCATCGGCGGGCTATTTGACGGGCCTCACACAGTACCGTATACGCGGACCGTGATCAAATTTGTTGAGGAGGCCAAGGATCTTGACTATTCCATTTTCGAAATTCGGATGCGGAGCTCCTTTACTGGATTTGGCACGTCAAGCTTGAAGAAGGATGTGGAGGATATTTCGGCGCTCGTCAAGTATCTCCGCTCCATCGGCCGCGAAAAAGTTGTGCTCTTTGGTCACTCTACAGGATGTCAGGTGTGTATGACTTTGTACCAAGACGTAATACCGAGACTCTGACCTCGTCAGGATTGCATGGAATACGCCGACTACGAGAAACACGCGAGTAGTCCGGTGGACGGCTTTATTATCCAGGCGCCAGTTTCAGACCGTGAAGCCCTCAAGAAGGATTTCCCCAATTATCAAGAACTTCTGGAAGTTTCGGAACAGATGATTGCAGACGGCCGGGAAAGGGAATACGTCTCTGCTAAACTGATCCCTGCGGGCTTCAACGTCCCCATTACAGCCTACAGGTTGCATTCGCTACTTGCCAAAGGGTGAGTGCATTTCCTCTTCGGATGATGAGTATTACTTACATCATATACAGCGGCGACGACGACTACTTTTCCTCGGACTTTGACGAGGCGACTCGGAACAGGTTTTGGGGTCGATTCACCAAACCTGTGCTTGTGCTACACTCTGAGGAAGATGAGTATGTGCCGGTTCATGTAAATCAGGACGCTCTACGCAAGCTATACCATGCCGCCAGTCCCCTGGTTAGTCCGTTGTCAGGGTCGATTCCCGATGCAACGCATGCTGTTACCAACGCTGCTGGACGTGAATGGCTAGCCAAGACTGTAGTCAAGTTCCTGCAGACCCTGGAGTGAGAGTGCAGGCCTGCCACAGCTACAGCAAGTTCGCCATGGAATAAATGGCTTACATAGATGGGGTATAAAAATCAGCATAACTAGGTATGCACGTCCACTTTATGGTCTGCTGCTTTGAAATCGAATATTTTACCAGTCAGACGTGACGCGAGCGACGGGGGGTCCCGGCGAGGGGCCGGCTTTGATACCCTAGGCCCAAAGGCAGGTGTAATAAAATATAATAAAACCTAGCAGAGACCTGATTATTAGTACAGTGAAACGTGCAGATTTTGCGGGTGACTGATGCCTGGTGACTCGCCTGGTGGCTTTCCAAGCAGGGTTACCACTGTGGACAGACACAGCGGACTTATTAGTGGCTCTGGCGGTCAGAGGCGCAAGTCTAGCACAGTGTAGGCACACCACTGCAGGCACTAATACTAGGTAAGCCGATAAATGGGTCACTTTACGTCGATTCCTCCAATGAAGCGTCGTCTTGCCGGCTCGCTGACAAAGCTCATCTTTAGGTAGCCTTGCACCCGGCGACAAGCCCAGCTGTGATCCACCCGGAACAAACGCCCGGTCCCGTCATTGCCTGTATTTCTAGTCTGCCGCTTCGTCTTCTTTTTTTCCCTTGGCTTTTTCCCATTTGGCCATCCATCCTCACCCCTCATTTCTCTTCCAGCGACCTTCGCCTGGATTGGCTTGTTCACTGTAGGCGCATTGGTCGACGCTTGCGATTGCCGCCCCGTGAGTTTTGTGTCCGCCCGCCGCTCTCGGACCATCGCCGCCCGCCTGTTCCACTCGGTTGGAGATCTGCACCGCAACCAAACCGACAACATCGTCCGCGCGCCTCTTGTCACGTCGTCAGCGAAGGATGAACTGAGATCCGACGACTCCGTACTCAAAATCTGACTACCGCGATGGAATATCCCGCCGCCCAGCAGCGTCTGCTGCATACGGGCTCCTTCACGGGCCTTCGCCCCGCAGAAAACCTCCACGCTCTCTTCAAGCCCAAGTCGCATCCCTTTTGCGCCGACCCCGAAGGCTGGGGTCCTCTCAGCCCGATTCGCTACGACTTTACTCCTTGCTTCATTGATGTTTGGATTGGCTCCGTCGCTGCTTTTGGCCTCGTCCTCGGTCCGCTTGCCATCTGGTATCTCCGCGGAAAGAACGACAACAAGACGCCCAAGGATGTTGGCTACTGGCTGAAGCAGACTCTTTTCGGAGTTCTGACTGCTTCTGTTCTCGTCCAGCTCCTATTTCAGGTCATGCAATCCAAACACATCGACTTTCGCTCCGCCACGTCCTTGCTGCTCCTCGCTTCCTTCGTTATCATCTTCTACATCCAGCACATCGAACACACTAGAATCCGCCACGCCAACGGCGTCGTACTCTTCTACTGGCTCCTTCTCACCATTGCGCAGAGTGTAAAGCTCCGCTCGCTCATTTCTCAGCAGCTCTATATCCACGATGAGCGCTACTTCATCGCCTACTGTGTCGGCTTCGGTCTCTCGACTGCCGAATTCCTCGTCGAGTGGTTGTGGCCTCGCTTCGGCACCCCTAGCGACTACCACGCCATCGCTGAGGAGGACGAGTGCCCTGTCGAATACGCGACCGTCTTCTCCAAGCTCACCTTTTCTTGGATGACTCCCATGATGCGCTTCGGCTACAAGACCTTTCTCACCCAGGACGACCTCTGGGCTCTGGCCAAGTCTGACAAGACCAGCACAACCGGCCAGGGCTTTAGCGATGCCTGGGAATATGAGTTGAAGAACAGACCCAAGTCTCCATCTCTCTGGATTGCACTCTTCCGTGCCTATGGCGGTCCCTATGCTGTCGCTGCCGTCTTCAAGATTGGAAATGACATGTCACAGTACATCCAGCCCCAACTGCTTCGTCTGTTGCTCAGGTGGGTTCAGTCTTACGAGACTGATTCGCCCCAACCTGTCATCAAGGGCGCTGCTCTTGCACTGGCCATGTTTGCCTGTGCCATCTTCCAGACCACCATGGTGCACCAGTACTTCCAGCTCGCCTTTGAGACTGGTATGCGTATCAAGGGCGGTCTCGGATCCAGTATCTATCGCAAGGCCCTCCGACTTTCGAATGAGGGTCGCGCTACCAAGTCTACTGGTGACATTGTTAACTACATGGCCGTTGACGCACAACGTCTGCAGGACTTGACCCAGTTTGCCCAGCAGGCCTGGTCTGCCCCGTTCCAAATCATCATCTGTATGGTCTCCCTATATAGCTTGGTCGGATGGTCCATGCTTGCTGGTATCGCTGTCATGATCATCATGATGCCCATCCAGGGCTATGTCGCAAGACTGATGAAGAAGCTCCAGAAGGAACAGATGAAGAACAAGGACGCCAGAAGCCGTCTCATCAACGAAATCATTACCAACATGAAGAGCATCAAGCTCTACTCCTGGGGCACTGCCTTTATGAACAAGCTCAACTTTGTGCGAAATGAGCAGGAGCTCAAGAACCTCCGCAAGATCGGCGCCACTCAGGCCATTGCCAACTTTACCTGGAATACTGCTCCCTTCTTCGTCTCTTGCTCCACCTTCACCATCTTCGTCCTCACCCAAAACAAGCCTCTGACGACGGACATTGTCTTCCCGGCTCTCGCTCTCTTCAACCTGCTTTCTTTCCCCCTAGCGGTCCTGCCGATGGTCATCACTTCCATCGTGGAAGCCTCTGTCGCTGTTGGCCGTCTCACCGACTTCTTCAACGCCGAGGAGATCCAGTCTGATGCCATCACAACTGGACCCGCCCCTAGCAAAATGGGCGAGGAGACTGTCATCATTCGCGACGGAACCTTTTCCTGGAATCGCCACGAGGACAAGAAAGCTCTTAGTGGTATCAACTACACTGCTTACAAGGGCGAGCTCTCTTGCATTGTTGGCCGCGTGGGTGCTGGTAAATCCTCCTTCCTCTCGAGTATTCTCGGTGACCTCTGGAAAGTTTCAGGCCATGCAGAAGTCCGCGGCAACGTCGCCTATGCTTCGCAGCAAACTTGGGTGCTCAACGCCACCGTCAAGGAAAACATTGTCTTTGGCTACCGCTACGATTCCGAGTTCTACGAGAAAACTGTCAAGGCTTGTGCTCTTCTTGATGACTTTGCTCAGCTTCCCGATGGTGATGAGACTGTCGTCGGCGAGCGCGGTATCTCCCTGAGTGGAGGCCAGAAGGCTCGTGTTTCTCTCGCTCGAGCTGTCTACGCTCGTGCTGATATTTACCTTCTCGATGATGTCCTGTCTGCCGTCGACTCCCATGTCGGACGACACATTATTGACAATGTTCTTGGCCCCCGCGGCTTGCTCTCTTCCAAGACCCGTATCCTCGCTACCAACTCGATCCCTGTCCTGCGCCAGGCAAGCTACATCACCCTCATCCGCGATGGTGAGATTGCCGAGCGCGGCTCCTACAACGACCTCGTGGCCAAGAAGGGCCTCGTCGCTGATCTGCTCCGCACTGCGTCTCAGGAATCCGGCGACGCTTCTGGATCATCTACCCCCCCTTCGAGTGAGTCCACCATTATCGGCGCCGAGAGCAGCCAGGACAAGGAGGAGCTCGAGGAAGCCCAGGAAAACGTCCCCGAAATGGCTCCTATCAAATCCGCCAAGATGGGCCTCGCCGTGACGGACAAGGGTCGCTCCAGCAGCATGGCCACCTTGCGCCGCGCCAGCACAGCTTCGTTCCGTGGTCCTCGCGGCAAGCTTACCGATGAGGAGGTGACGCCGAGCCGCCGCACTCAGCAGAAGAAGGAGTTTGTCGAGCAGGGCAAGGTCAAGTGGTCCGTCTACGGCGAATACGCCAAGGAAAACAACTCCATTGCCGTCTTGGTCTATCTCACTGCTCTCATTGCCGCCCAGACGGCCAACATTGGTGCTGCCTTTTGGCTGCAGCATTGGGCTGACCAGAACCGCGAGAAGGGCACCAACGAAAAGGTTGGCACCTACATTGGGATCTACTTTGCGATTGGCATTTCGTCTTCGGCCCTGACTGTCATCCAAACCCTCGTGCTCTGGATTTTCTGCTCTATCGAAGCCTCGCGCAAGCTGCATGAGCGCATGGCCAATGCCATTTTCCGGTCTCCCATGTCCTTTTTCGACACGACTCCCACGGGACGCATCCTCAACCGCTTCTCCAGCGACATTTACAAAGTGGATGAGATTCTGGCTCGCGTCTTCAACATGCTGTTCAATAATGTGGCGCGATCCGGCTTCACCATCCTGGTTATTTCATACACGACACCCCCCTTCACTGCCTTTATTGTTCCCTTGGGCCTGGCGTACTACTTTATCCAGCGCTACTACCTCCGCACCTCGCGGGAGCTGAAGCGTCTTGACAGCGTCAGCCGCAGTCCCGTCTACGCCCATTTCCAGGAGTCGCTCGGCGGCCTCACCACTATCCGCGCGTACCGCCAGCAGGAGCGTTTCCGTCTCGAGAACGAGTGGCGTCTTGATGCCAACCTGCGGGCTTACTTTCCCTCCATCAGCGCCAATCGATGGCTCGCGGTGCGACTGGAAGTCATGGGCGCTGTCGTCATCCTGGCGGCTGCCGGCCTGGCCATTATTGCTGTCGCCGCCGGTTCTGGTCTCGGCGACGGCCCTATTGGTTTGTCGCTGTCGCAGGCTCTGCAAATCACCACCTCACTCAACTGGATCGTCCGACAGACTGTCGAGGTTGAGACCAACATTGTCTCGGTGGAGCGTGTGCTCGAGTACGCCGCGCTGCCCAGCGAGGCGCCTGAGGTGATTGCCAACCATCGTCCGCCGGTAGCCTGGCCGGCCAAGGGCGAAGTCGAGTTCAAAAACTACAGCACCCGCTACCGCGAGGGCCTGGACCTTGTGCTTAAGAATATCAATCTCGACATCAAGTCGCACGAGAAGATTGGCGTGGTCGGGCGCACCGGCGCGGGCAAGTCGTCCCTCACGCTGGCGCTCTTCCGCCTGATCGAGCCTGCGACTGGCCACATTGGCATTGACAACCTCAATACGTCATCCATCGGTCTGCTGGATGTCCGCCGCCGACTAGCCATTATCCCGCAAGATGCCGCTCTATTTGAGGGCACCGTGCGTGACAACCTGGATCCGGGCCATGTCCACGACGACACAGAGCTGTGGAGCGTTCTCGGTACGTTTGGTAGAGAGAGAGAGAGTCGGAACTTGCACAAAACATGGCTAACATTGCGTTGCAGATCACGCCCGACTCAAGGACCACGTTAAGACCATGGATGGCGGCCTTGAAGCCAAGATTATGGAAGGAGGTAAGACGTGCTTACTCTGCATTCTCGACACGATGTCTTTGATTGGTGCGATGGTTGGCCAGTTCACGGGCTGAAGACGCCTTTTGGGAAGGTTACACCCTTCCGACTGGCCCTTCATGACACGTCGCCGAGACATAGCGAAAAATCTTACTCCCCCGACTTTGCTCAACGCTAACCACCATACTCTCTCTCTCTCCTAGGTTCCAACCTCTCGCAGGGACAGCGCCAGCTGGTGTCGCTGGCGCGGGCCATGCTGACGCCATCCAACATTCTGGTGCTGGACGAGGCGACGGCCGCCGTGGACGTGGAGACGGACGCGATGCTGCAGACGACGCTGCGGTCGCCGCTCTTTGCCCACCGCACCATCATCACCGTCGCGCACCGCCTCAACACGATTGTCGACAGCGACCGCGTCATTGTCCTCGACAAGGGCGAGGTGGTCGAGTTTGACACGCCCGCCGCGCTGTACAAGAAGCAGGGCCAGTTTTACAACCTCATGAAGCAGGCCGGTCTAGAGGTGGAGTGAACAAGTACCAAGAACAAGTACAAGAAAGCGCTATTTCGCGCGTTTTGAAAAAAAAAAGGCCCTTTTTTTAGGGTGTGTAATCATTTTAGGCGGGCTGTTGGGGGGAGTTTCTTTTCACATGTTGTTCTTTGTACCATTCAGACTGAAGCTTCATGTTGCTTTGGGAAAAAAAAGTTTATCCTGTCTAACTAGTAGTCAGGTCCCTCGATTGGACACTTGTTGCATATCATTGTATAGAATGCAAAAAATCAAATACATGAACCATTTATCCGACACTAGTTACGAGACGGAGGGGCCTTTTGAACTCGGTAGCGTGATAATACGTTTTTGGTTTGACTGGGCGAGTCAGTTTTGTAGGGCGGGTGGACGGGCGTGTGATGAGAGGAGAGAAGCATTGTCGGCCAACTGCTACTGGTCCAACCAAGTAACATGCAAGAAAACCCTTCCTTGGCTAACTAGTGTCTCGGCTGAAGCCGGCGCAAGGAGAAAGAATGAGAGGAGGATCCCCTCGCAGAACTGCGCTTCTTGTTGCGCAGTTTTTCTTTCTTGGTTGTATTTTCGGTGGCAGAGGGGTGAGACATTGGGCAGGATCTATGAGCCGATATTGAGCGGTGCACCGCCGCCCCGCCCGAACGTGCCGAATGAATGGCATGTGGGAAAGTTGCCTGTATTTCCTTTCTTTTTTTCCCTTATTCGTAATGCTCTCTTCGGGTTTCCTAACTAGAGTAAGCAAGCCTGACGCAGGTTGGCGGTGGGGGACGCACATGGTCCACGGCTACGGGCTGCGGCTGAGACAAATAGAAAACCCCATATCCGTAACATGTTGCCTTGATTTTAAATGTTGAGCCGCCGCTTAATTCAGTCGCGAGAGGTGCGGGGCCGGGGGGGGGGGGGGTCTGGCGAAGAGTGAGGGAAGAAGCAATGGAAGCCCTCCCAGTTTTAAGAGACAAAACTTGCCAAACTTGTGGCAGGGACATGGGCTTGACAAAACGATGGTATTGCGTGGGGGGTTGTGCATTCTCTGGGAGACAAGAGACAAGAGAGAAAACGGGGAAAAAAAGAAAACAGACTTCTCAACGGTCCAAGAGCAAGGGGGCTCACCCTGCTAGACTGTCCAATAACTTGGTTTGGAATGAAGAGATTCGCTTTCGTTGTTGGCCCCATGCTGCTTTCGGACGGAACACGTTCACCACATGGACCGACCGACCACATGGGCCTCTCAACATGGGAAAGACGACCAAGAATGCCATGGATGCAAAAGTGGAGGAAGCTGGTTGGTGATTGACAAGTCATTTATCCGCCCCCCATCCCCTCTCTTCTGTTGCTGTCCGATTTAGAGTTTGGGGCGGCATATCTTGGGCGGGTTCAGATGTAACGACGATCACATCGATCTTACCCATCTTACCCATCCAAACTACGTAACATGAACGTGCGTGCTTCCTTCTTTTCCTGTCTTTTCCTTCTCTGATCCTCAGGGAGGCGCTTTGCCAGCTGGATCTGAGATGGCGCGCGCGCCCGGCTGAAGACGGGGGGCCAACCCACCTCTATTATTACGCTCCCAAGAGAACGCTCCCAAGAGATGATACATCATGTATTGGGTTTCCCATCGTCCTGTCTACCCGGTTTGTTAGTCTTGCGAGAAGAAGCCATAGGAAAAAAATGTGATAGCCTTGTCGCTCCATTCAAGTGCAAATCTGTTTAGCGAGGTCGACTCGTCACTTACACGCCCGTCGTATTGGTTCTCACGTAGCTTTCTCTCGAACCCTCGTCCCTGCTTCGGCTTGTTTTGATCCGAGCATGGTGATACTTTGGATGAGCCTCGAACTTGTCTCGTGTTGTATCTTCTCATCTAACTGCCCACCGCTGATGTCGCATCCTTTTCTTTTTCTTCTTGGTGCCGCATCACGACGGCCCCAAAGGTCATTAGACCAACACGTTAGTCCGCTGTCCATTACGTACCATGCTGGTCCGCCCTCACTTGACTGGTTAGTACTGTGCGTCTTGATTGGTGCGCGTGTAATTGGACCCTTCAGGGTCTCTCCTTTGATGGGTTCATCGCCGACGCTGCCCGACGGACATTTGGACCAACAACTAACAACTGGGGCAATGAAGAGGAAAACAAGACAGGATGGCATTTCAGGCGCGGTTCTTGGCCCCTCTTTGCCCATGGTTTGTGTCTCGTCCTCGCAAAAGCCCAACAGGTTTCCATCCCAGATTTGTCACCGCCGTACCCATTTCCTGCGTAACGTTGGACATGGCATAAACAAACGCCTGCTCTCTTCTGCCAAGCATGCAGAATGACCCAAATGGCGTGCTTGGTACAGGGCTCGAGAAATAAACTGCCAAGGAAAGGATCGAGAACCCGTTATGGATAGCTGTACAATCAAGTCCTTGCGCCAACCGTGGCGCCACATGCCGTCGAACAACGAGTAATGTTGAACGATGATCCGAGAGATGAGGTCGGCGCTATTCGTCTGTGCTTCGTCCTTGAGGGGGCGGTAGTGGACAAGCCCCGGCTCTCGGAAGTCATATAAATGGACATGAGGCAAACCCTAAAATGTAATATCCAATCATACATATTTGCGAGTGCCAAGCTGACAGAAGACGAAACGCAGGGGACGGACCCAGCCCGATATCCAGCACAGGCGCATCTGCAGAATAGAAAGATAAGTGCAGCAGGGGGGAGGGGGTTGCAGCCCAGAGTTTACCCCAAGATATCAAGGGAGTACTCCATACATCTATCAATAGATGTTCAATGGTTCTGGGTCGAAAAACTGGAGATGCGGTCAAAAGAAGCATGGGCGATATAACCTCGGTAGTTCATATCTCCATGTATCATACACCTCGACAGCAGTGGGCATGGCGTTTGCGTGCTCGTGAGAAACTAGAGGGAAACTCGCAAGTCAATCGAATGCCAAGTGATTGTCACGAGCTTCTGCTGTGTGTGGTTCACTTGGTGATTGCGCCGCACCGTTTCCAATGCGACGTGGAACAACAGAATGGAAGAAACAGAAGCCTAAACATGCTATGCATACCCCCCCTCCCTTCCCCTTTTGGTAACACATGGCAGACCAGGTAGCACAAAGACGGAAATTCAGTCAAACACAGATGCGAAGCTATTCGTAGACGCAGAGATCCATCACGCCGCATTGCATATGGTGTGGTAGCACAACAGAGATTTTTCGGGAACCCAAGGCGGCCGACAACCGCCGCCCAGAGAGAGCTTAAGCTCCTCATTCCTCATGCGTGCCTGTGTCTGTGTGTGTGAGCGAAAATGCAAAAAGGCTCATCACACCGCATTTCAATATTGAGCGAAAACGAAAGACATGAGCCGAGTTTTGCAGCAACAGCAAGACAGAGGGCGCAACAACGCAACAACGGCAGCGTCTTCTCTTGTGCCGCACCTCACCCGCGCCCTCCCTCCCTTTCCTTGCCTGTTGCTTGGTGTGCTGTGCTTGGCTGCTGTATCTGTGGACAGTGACTAATGCCGTGGTTCCTTTGCGTTTCTGTAGCTCCCGCTGACGAGCATTAGGGCGCCGTCCATGCACGACTCATAAGCTGAAGAGAGTCAGCCAGCCCAGCCCAGAGCCCTTGCCCTGCCCTGCCCTCGGGATGGATGCGCTCAGGGGTAACAAGAGCACCTACCTGCCCAATGTCATATAACTATATTCACCCAAGAGGAATCGATGCAGCGGACCTTTTTTCTTCTGGTGCATTTTCCCGAAGTAATTTCCATATTATCGTGGAGCGGCCCCTCCCGGCGCGAGCACTAGTTCTTGTCAGTTGCTTCGACAGAAGGTCAGGGAAACAAAAGCCGCCGTTGGCGTCGAAATCGCCCTCCACTGTTACCTATAGAGCATCATTTTGTCCCTGCTCATAGGCGACCGCTTACTGTTCCTGTCCAGCGAGGCATTTCTTTTCGTTTGTCACCATGGCAGTTGATCCGGGGAGCCTATGTATAACCTACGGCCCACGAGACGGCACCAGCAAAATAGCCGTTGCGAATCCAAGCAATGGGGTTCGTTGTAGCACTCCGTCGTTTTGCTAGGGACGAGGCTTTATTTTCCTCACTTCGCCTTGTCGGTCCCCGCTGTCTCGGCCCCGCAAGCTGCCCAGAGTCATCCTCATCACACCGGGCAGATGCAGAAGAAACCCAGCGCCATGGTGGCGTCTGTTAATGCAGCCCGTCCCCCCCAAGTTGGCCATCCAACTAACTAGTTAGTAACGTTAGTTCTGGAGTTTGCTTCTCTTTCCGTCGTGTGCGTTGTTGCGTATATGCCCACATGAATTCCGACTGGTGTTGCGCACCAGTGTACCTCTCATGATGCAATCCGTTGCCAGCGCCGGCTGGTACTGACAGAAAATCAGTCTGGGTAAAATTCTCCGCGTTTTGCGCGTTTTCCTCTACAAAAAGAGTCATTCCGTCGCTGTTGCGGTGTGCTGTTGTGCTTGGCTACCCTGTTCCCTGCACATGCCTGCATGCTGCTTTGCTTTCGTCGCCCTCCTTTTTGGCCAACACCAGGCCTACCCACCAAACCTCAGAAAGTGAAAATCCGAATAGCTGGAACAAGTGGGGGTTATGTATCAGCCCTTCGAGTATTTTGGCTGGTGACCAAACCACTTACTATGTAGGACCATTGAGGCTGGGCCATGTATCCTGGCTCTCAAAGACATCCAAGTAGCAAACTGTATTGTCTTTGGCAGGGCACTTTATTAGAGCTTGTTCACGTGCCCACCATCTCCGACCATTTGTTGATGCTTTCGTTTTGCACTTGTCTGTTTCTTGATAAGGCACACGAGCAGTGCCGTGCATCGCTCGATGCTGTGGCGTGGCACACCGTGTATGCATTTGTTCATCAGCTCTTTTGTGTAACCAACACGACGTGACAGTTTTCGGTTGCAAAAATTCGTGTCATGCATTAAGCTGTGACAAGCGGTGACTTCCCTCTGACACTTTTTCCTGGCAACCCCCCCATTTGCCTTGATTATTGTGGCGTCTA